AATCTAAAATATGATTTGTATTCGGATTCAAATTCGAATATAGGGAATACGAATCATCCTTTTCAAATACGAATCACGAATCGAATACATTTTATTTGATTTGTATGCACCCCTACTTGTACATACATGTACTCTGTATTGCAAAATACAAAATATATCTATATATACTTACTCCCTCCGTCCTAGAATTAACTTCCCATTTGACTTTTTACGGTCTCTAATGCGACACTTTGACCATCAATATCTTAATTTTTATATAAATATATTTTATAAAAATTATATTTCAAAACTATGTTTCAGAATGAATTTATTGCTAATAAATTTATATGAAAAATCAATATATTTTTTCCGTAATATACGGTCAAAGTTTAAAAAATTTGACTACAAAAATCAAACTGGGAAATTAATTTTAGGACGGGGGAGTATTTATTTTTCAATACATCAAAAAAAATCGATAATAGTGTTTATTAAAAACAAAAAGATGAATGAATAGAAGAAAAAGAATTGGGAACATACCGAATGGTTTGATTGGTCCAAAGAATACTGTAGCGATGGAAGTCAAGGGAGGGGTCAAACCAGAGGAAATACCTCTCTTCCCTTCCCCTGTTCGTGCTCCCATTTCCGTACACATTCGTCTGAAACCTCCATTCCTTCCCCTTCACATTCCCCAGAAACTCGAAGTCCAATTCATCGTGCGTCTTCTCGAACACGTCCCCGTTCGTCGTCTGTAATTCACCACAAACTAATTAAATCAAACCACGCTCGTACAAATTATAAGAAGAAACAAATTAAATCGATCGGCAAGGTTTTGATCTGCGATTGGAACGTACGTAGAATGCGACGACGATTCCGGCGGTGTAGTCGGACGGGAGTTTGATCTTGGCGCTGAAGAAGCCGTGGTTGTATAGATCCGATGACTTGAACCCGGATCCTGTAAATTCATTCATTAATTAAGCCATAATCTCAATTCTCAACCACACAAATTTGAGACAAATCCAACCTTCCCCAAGTGAGAGAGAAAACAAACACAACCGGGAATTGATAGATAGAATAGAGTACTGTGGAAGGGAAATGCACTAAACATTAGGCATTATTACTTGTTTATTTTTATTTTTGTGCTATAAGGGTATATAAGGAAAGCTAAATATAATTATGGCCGGTCATAATTAAAGCAAGTAATAAATAAAAAAAGATACTCGTAATTGAATAAATATATAACTAACCAAGCAATTAAATTAACTTGAATTGAACTTTAAAGTTTAATCTAAGAAAAAATTGAATTAACATATAAATTAAAATCCATAACCATAACTCTTTGGTACAAAAGCATGACCATATTTGATTACTTGCATCATTCATCTTCATTAAGTACTTTATATAAATCACAATTAAGGTTCTTTAAAGGAAAGTGTGGCACACTTTTTGGAATAAATAATTTCATGTAAAAAAAGAGAATTTGAAATTTTAATAACCCAAACGAACCATTGAAATAATAAGTTTAAAAATATTAAAGAGTATAATCATTGGATTATAATTCAATATATATTTCCCTCTTACCATCAAAGTACATAAACTTTCCCCAAGAATAGTTCTACCTTCTCCTCACCAATTTTTTAGCCTCTAAAAAAGTTCTCTTTTTTTTCATTAAAAAATTAAAATACTCCGTAATAATTATGTCCTCCTTGTCAAAAAAATTACTCCGTATTTACTCATCTAAGCATATTTTAACTTCATATTTCTTAAATTGGATTAAAGTAAAACAAACTTTTTTTTGGCAATACTCATTCGTTTTGTAAAAGAGTTCTTATTTTGATTGCTTCAGCTGTTCTAAATTAACTTTTTCATTTTAATTTTGTGATACTAAGAAAAATATTAAAAAATAAAAAATAGTTAGTATTAAGGATATGATATGATCAGAAGAGAGAATGAAAAATTAGAACTTAATCTCTTATACTAAAAGAAAAAAAATGAAAAAAAAATATTTTGTGGGGAGAGAGAAAGAGAGAAGAGTACCGGCCTGTATAACGGTCGAGATGAAGGCTGACGGCGTCGTCGCGGGGCGAACGGAGGATGTTGGGTTCGCCGAAGAGGGCGGTGAAGCCCTGGTTGAAGGGGATCGTGGTGACGTTGAACGCCGCCGCTGCAGCGGCGTAGGAGAGGATGATTGCGGCGGAGAGAAGAAGAAGACGCGTCGATGATCTTTCGGCGGCGTCCGGCGGAAGTGGAATGGAATATATTGACATGGCTTTTTTTTATTGTATTTGGAATGTTTAATTTAAGACGCAATGTTTTGTGCTGGCCGGTGCCACTATATATGTATGTATGGATGGATTCAAGAGGTTTAATTACAATTTTTAATTTATTGTAATTGTCATTGTCATTAGATGCCAAATGGTGCCTAGACCCTAGTGCCTACTACCTCTCTCTTTAAATAAATCTATTTTTTTGCTTTCTTTTTTAACGTCTTAAAATACCCGTTTCATTTCGTACCAAACACATAATGATATTTAATTTGACATTTTTTTACTATAAATTAATAAAAAAATATTTAGTTATAATATAAATTTAATATAATTAGATGGACTCATTTTAAATGTAGTTTTGATATGATATATCAACTTTTTTAAGATTTATATTTTAAAGAGTATTTTATCATCGTCAAAAGCATCACAATTTTTATTAAAAAAGTTAGACGGTGATTCTCTTTTTGAGGCGGAGGTAATCATTTTCATTCGAGAGAAAAACGTGGAATGTGAGTAATATGTCCAAAATACCCCAAATAAAAAGTGCAATTTTTGGCATGAAATAGGAGTTATTTTTAAATAAAATTACAATTTTATTTTTTGACAATAGTACCACCATACTTCCAACTTCAATTCTCTGCCACGCTACCAGCTCCTTTGTCAGACTATCAAGTGTATCAACTCTTTTGCTTCGCCGCTACCAAACTATGGTCCTTTGTGTCACACTGTCACCTTCTCTGCTACACTACCACCATCATTGCCACACTGCCGCATTGTAAAATCCGCGCCACACTATCACTCTCTCGACCACACTGTCACTGTCGTCGCCACACTACCACCACCTATGCACGCACACACAATAAATAATATTGACGTGTACATTGCCAATGATAAGTCCTATATGAGTCTAAGGGCTTTTATATTCCATCCGTTTCTTAAATTACATTCTCTTTCATTTTTTGTTTTTCTCAAAACAATTTAACTTTTTATTAAAAAATAACTTTCACTAATAATATATTCATCACATCTTACTATTACCTATTATATTCAAGGCAAAATTAAAAAACAATAAATATACACTTCTTATTTATCATAAAAGTCAAAATATGAATCGTTTTATGAAATGGAGGAAGTATGTCTTTATTATTAATTTAAGTCATGTTTGAAATCATTTTTTTCATAACCATGTGGTTAAAAAAATTCTTCCTCATCTCATGAAATTTTCTAATCACATGTTCCTCAATCCAATTTTTTATTACGGAGTACTCCGTATTTTTTTCAATAATAATAATAATAATAATAATAATAATAATAATAATAATAATAACAAGTCAAGTCCAAAGGTTTTAAAGTAAATTTTAATTTTTGGCATACTTTTGTCATGAACTAGCTAGTGTCTAGTTAGATTCATATATGAACTCGTTAGTCATGTGCGGTATTGGGAGGACACGATAATTGATACTCCCAGCCTCCCCAAAAGAACTTCTCAAAAATCATTTTTCATGCTTTTTAATGGAGAATCGAAAAAATAAAGTTGTCTCATAAAATATTCTTTTCATTTAACTTTTCACAGTCCTTGACCATTATTATCTATATTTATACATTGATATATTTCATAAAAAATTGAAATTGAAAACTACATTTCAATACGAATATATTGACACTAAAAATTTTAGCTAACGACAGCATTACACTTCATTGATTTTTTCAAAAAATTTTAACAACTTAAAATCTAATTTAAATTATTAAAATCTTATCTAAAATGCTAATGTCTATCGAAAAGTTTGTTCCAATATGTAAAAGAGTGATTAGGTAATGGAATTATGGGTTAAGAAGGAAAGAAGGCCGGGGTTTGTACTATTGTGCATGTGATTAGGTAAATAAACACACTTTTATTGGGGGGGGGGATTAGTTATTGACTTATTGCCCAGCGCCAGGATGGGCCACTCTTGGTTTTTTTTTTAATTTTCTGTGGGTGTTTAAATTATTGGAAGTTGGAACCTTGTCATAACATGCCCACAATTCCCAAATTTTCTGCGAGAGAACAGAAAAAAACATTTATAAAATGTTCTTAACTATGAATGAAATATATCTAAATAGAACTCTAATATTTTGTATATCTAACTAAAATTCCGTGAAATCTTTTCTATCAAAAAAAAAATATTTAATTTGATTTTGAAGTCATGTTATGGTATATTCCTTTCGTCCCAATTTACTCTTCCCAGTCTGAAGAGTGTGCAAAATATCATGTCTTTGAAAATTATTTTACTTACTCTCTCCGTTTCACAAAATCCTTCCTCTTTTGTTTTTTTGCTTTCCACAAAACACTTTCACTTTCTATTAAAAAATCACTTTTACCCCTACTTTTTTCATACCCTACCTATCACAAATTAAAATTAAAAAAAATTATATATTACACCCTTGAAAACTAACTATATCAAAAGTTTACAAAATGGTAGACATCAAGAATATTTTATTTTACTAAATGATCAATAAATATATACATACAATTATGAATTTTTAAGAGATTGTAATAATAATTGAGGGTTAAATTAGAGAGGGAGTATTATTTTTGTCCATGTGTAGATTTACCAATACTCATTATCTTTCGCTTCAAAAAAAGAAATATCGTTTTCAATAAAATACTTAAATAAAATTGTAAAAAATCTTTCAATTTAAAGAAAGAGAAAAAAGAATTATGAGTTGGGGGATGGAATGTAAGAGGACTGAATAGTCCTAATAAACAAGCTGCAGTGAAGAGTCTAATAAATAAGAATGTCATTGGCCTTATGGGGCTTTTGGAAACAAAAATAAAAGATCCTAAATATATGGAGGTAGAGAAAAAACTATTTAGTGGGTGGGGCACCTACATCAATAATAACAATCATCCAAATGGGAGGATTTGGGTTGTTTGGAAAAGGCAGAATTACGATGTAAGGGTAATGGACTCAACAGATCAGACCGTGCATTGTTCTGTTATGAATAGGGAGAACAAGGAGGAGTTCTACATTACGTTTGTATATGGTCATAATGATCTTAACAAAAGGATAGCAATGTGGATCAGGAGGTACTCTACCGCCATGAGAGGAGCTTGGTGTGTCCTGGGAGATTTCAATGTTGTGTTGCATATAGATGACAGAATTGGGGGAAGCAGAGTTACTAGAGAGGAGACTAAAGATTTTGAAGAATGCCTTAGGGATTGTGGATTAGAGGAGGTCCCGTATACTGGTTCATACTACACATGGTCGAATAAGCAAGGACTAGGGGACAGAATTTACTCTAAGCTAGACAGAGTAGTAAGCAATGTAGAATGGGTCACAAAGTTTGGATCTAAAACAATCATTTTGGAGGAGGGGATTTCAGATCATTGCCCTTTGATCATCCCTAATAGCCATTGCCAAATTAAGAGGAATGAATTTAAATATTGTGAAATGTGGAGACTTGACCCGAGTTTCCAAGCAATCATTAAGGAAGGTTGGTCTAAGCAAGTAGTGGGCAGACCAATGTTTCAGATTTTGCAGAAGCTTAAATCATTGAAAGCACCCCTGAGGAAGTTGAACAGAGACAAGTTCCATCAGATCAATAAACAAGTGGAAGTTATCGGGGTGGAACTTGAAGAAATTCAAAAGCACCTTAAGGATAACCTAGAGGACAGTGAACTGCTGCACAAGGAGAAACAACTCGCAAAGGAATATCACCTGAAAATCAAAGCTGCACTCCTTTTGAGGAAACAACAATCCAAGATGGAGTGGATTACTGAGGCTGACCAAGGTTCAAAAATGTTCCATGNACCAAATAGTAGCCATTAAGGATGGTGATGATAACCTGGTGAAGGATGCAGATGGAGTGGAAAGGGTGATTATAGACTACTACCAAACACTTTTGGGATCAACCACATATACGGAGAACATCCAAGGTGACATTATACAGAGAGGGAATGTCCTTTCCTTAGAGCAGCAATGTTTTTTAATCAAACCATTTTACGAAGAGAATGTGAAGAAAGCACTATTTGAAATACCCAATAGTAAGAGCCCCGGGCCAGATGGCTACTCTAGTGGATTTTACAAGAACCAATGGGATACAGTTGGGAGTTTATTCAGTGAAGCTGTACTAGAATTCTTCAGGGATGATATGACATTAAAGGAGATAAACAATACAAAAATAATCCTCATTCCCAAAATGGAGAATCCCCAAGGGGTAAAGGACTACAGACCCATAGCGTGTTGCAATGTGATCTATAAAGTTATCTCAAAACTCCTATGTAGTAGGTTGAAGCATGTACTGCCACATATCATCAACCAAAACCAAGGGGCATTTGTGGAAGGAAGAGAGCTACTACATAATGTACTACTCTGTCAGGAGTTAGCCAAAGGGTATAATAGAGAAGGAATGTCAGCTAGATGCATGATCAAACTGGATATTACTAAAGCCTATGACTCCATAAGCTGGAAAGCCATCGAGAAAATCATGATATATTTGAAGTTCCCAGATCAGTTCATAAAATGGGTACTCTTTTGTATAACCACACCATCATTTACAGTGAGTATTAATGGAGAAAGTAAAGGATTTTTTCAGAGGGGGAAAGGGGCTAAGGCAAGGAGACCCGATCTCCCCCCTCTTATTTGTCATGGTTATGGAATACTTCACTCGAGTCCTAAGCCAGTATGCAAAACAGTTCAAGCTCAGGCATCATCCAATGTGTAAGGACATTAAACTCATTAACTTGTGTTTTGCAGATGACTTGATAGTCATATGTAGAGCAGATGAGAAGTCCATTAAGTGTGTCATGGAGTCCCTAGCCCACTTTAAAAAGACGATAGGTCTATCTATCAATCTTGGCAAATCTCAGATTGTAATGGCAGGGATCAATCACAAAGAGAAGAAAAGGCTCATTGAGATGACTAAGATAACAGAGGGTAAACTACCTTTCACATACTTAGGCTGCCCTATCACTACAAGTAAAATGTCAAGTGCTGACTGTGATTTGTTCATTGAGAAGATAACGTCAAGGATAACAAGTTGGGCCACCAAACACCTATCATATGCAGGAAGATCTAGGTTGATAAACTCAGTTCTGTTTGGAATCATTAATTTCTGGTGTAGAATTTTCATTATTCCTGGCAGGGTAATGAAGAAGGTGCAAGCCTTATGTAGAAACTATCTATGGGGAGCAGCTGAAAAGTATAAAAGGGTCCCATTGGTTAACTGGGAAGACACTTGCAAACCAAAAGGAAGTGGAGGGCTGGGGTTCAGAAACGTAAATGTTTGGAATAAAGCCTTGGTGATGAAGCTGAACTGGGATATTGCAAACAAGAAGGATAATTTATGGGTTAGGTGGATTCATAGTAGATATATTAAGGGCACAAACTTCTGGGATTATACTCCAAAACAGGACACTTGCTATTATTGGAGGAGGATGGTAAAAGTGAGGGCAGAATTTGAGGGGATGAGAATTAATGGGGAATATACACCAGAGGAAGGGTATCAATGGCTCCTAGGCCAACCCCCCAAAGCAGAATGGGCTAGCGTGGTGTGGAATAGACTAACGATACCCAAACACCAATTCAACATGTGGCTAATCCTGAAGAACAGACTTCAGACAAGACAGAGGCTAAGTAAGTTCATCAATGTTGATACGAAGTGCCTGTTGTGTAATAATGGAGCAGAAGACATCAACCATTTATTTTGGGAATGCCCATTCTCCAAGGAGCTGCACAGTAAGATTATGGTACCCATGGGTTGTGTAATTCAAGCTTCAAGTTTCCAAGAATATTGTGACAAGATGAGGAGACATGGAACCATAAGGGAGAGAGGAATTTGGATAGCAGCATGGGCAACAACTTGCTACTTCATATGGAAGGCTAGAAATACTAAGTGGCACCTAAAGGAGGATGTGAGGGTGGACGAGTGTGTCTCCTGTATTATGTTCAATATTAGATGTTTCATTAGTAGTAAACTGAAGAAGAGTAATATACTGTCCAGGTAGTAGAATTAAGTAGGGAGGAGTATTGAAGATTGTATGATCTTATTTTTGTGATGAGTTAATGAATTGTGAAGTGGTTCAAAAAAAAAAAAAGAATTATGATGATTCAAAATGAAAAATGTAGGGAGAAAACAAAATCAGGTTGGATGAAAGTAAAAATAACTTAACAAATTCTTACATGGTCATGAAGTCTATATTTTAATTTTATAGATTTTAAGGTATTGATATCATAAAAGAATTAAATTTTTTACAAAAAAAATATATTAAATTTATTTTGTATCAATATCAATTATTAATTTTATTTAATTAATGATCAAATTTTATCAATTTTAATTACAAAAAAATCAAAATTAGACAAACATTTTTACACCACTAATCAATATAATATAAATATGGATATGCATTAAACCAGGAGGCGAGAATTTGAACCCAATACCAATGTAATATGTCCACGTTTAGAATTATTCTTTTTCTTAAATTATTGTTAATTAATTACTCTTTCCGTCTCTAAAAGATTGTCACAGTTTAATTTTATTAGTCAAACTGTGACACTTTTTTACCGTAAATTATGGAAAGAGTATTTAGTTATAATGTAAACTTAGTAAAATTGAGTTTATTTCAGAATATGATTTTGAAATATCAAGTTTTTATAATATTTAATTTTTTAAATTTATATTTAATTCGTGATCAAAACAATCCATAATTTGACCAAAAAAATCAATTTTTAGGAACAAAATGAGTATCAAACAAGTATTAAGCCAAATGAGATCTATCTCACATTCTGTTTGAGAGTTGTCCATGTTCTTTTTTATTTTTAGGAACACTAACTTATATATTTCCTCCTTTTTCAAAACAATTTATTTCACATTATTTCACCAAAAAGTTTAAAAATGTTAAAAAGAATAAAAAAATACTACAGTAGTATACAACTAAAAATTAAATTTGGGAAAGAGAGAAGTATTGTACTGGGGATGATTTATTTCATCCTTTTAAAAAAAGGTGAAAAACTTATTTTAATTTTATTTTTTATATAACTTTTTTAGATAATTAACTTCGATCACAATGCAAATTCACAATGAAGAAAACAAATACATTACATTATCACATAAACTTAATATTAAAATAATGATGCTAAAGCACCAGATTCATATAACATTTAATACAAATGGCATATTTTCGTTATAATTAATTAAATGGATCAATTAAACATAGATAATGTGTGTCTAGCTAATGTCGACTTTATCAAAATGGGTTATAGTAATAATTAACATCATTATAATTTGTCACTTAATAGGATTAGCACACAAAGTGGGTATACCAACCGATCGAACAACTCCCTAATTCATAATAATGCAATCCAGCCCTATAAACTACTCCGTATAATGCATGCCTAAATAACAATTATCAAATTAATAACTATCCGTCTATCCCTCTATCTTTATGAGGAAGCAATGAACGAGACAATTAATATTCTATCAATTCTTTTCATATTATTCCGTAATTTTTTTGTCCAATTCTACAAACTGCTTCACAAATTGTGAAAAAAATAGTTATAAAATAAATTTAATACGATTGACTTCATTTTTATAATTTTGTTATGAAATTTTGTTTTTTTAAGAAAAAATTATTAATTAAAATTATACTTATGAGACAAAGGGCATGTATATAAACATTATAATGAATAATTGAACAAAGCATGAAATTACTGAGTGATCATATATGTCTTCATTTATGAATAACAGTCAACGTTTTTATTTATTTACTCCGGGTATTTGTTTGTTCCGAGTTCCTTTATACTCCATAGACATCGTTCTATCTAAATAATATGTTGCTTAGATGACAAACAAGAGGTGCAAAAACAAGTACTCCAATACAAAGCATGAGTTCGACTCGGATCAACGGTCATGAAGAGTGATTATATATGCGTAAGATGAAGCACAGCTCTTGCACATAGCAAGAACCAAATTCATGTACTCTTTCTTAACCGAATTAAGATTAAGCTCAATTTACTTTTTTTCCCAGTTAATTATCTGGTCGGTTCTGATGAATCCAGAGATGAGTTCTACTCCCTCCGTTCCATAAACCCTTTCCCCTTTCGTTTTTTTTGAAATCCTAAAACACTTCCACTTTCTATTAAAAAACCACGTTTACCCTTATTTTTTCATACTCTACCTATCAGATTATACTCTTTCACTAATATCTAAACTATTACATCTTACTTTTACTCATCACATCAGAGGCAAAATGGGAAAGACAACCAAAATTACACCTTCCTTATCTTGGCCCAAAGTCAAAATTGAAGATGTTTAAAGGAATGGAGGGAGTATCTTTTTTTCTTTCCATGGTTGTTCCATTTTTTGTACATACATATAGTTCAATTTCGGCAAGGAATCACATATTCACACTTTTACATATTAACTTCTACCTATTAAATGTGACATCAATTGAAGCAAATAAAAATCTCCACGCTTTTATTCGCTTTTGATCTATGTGTTATGGGGAATATTATCTTTTAAACTTTAAGTGTTTTGTAGCATTACTTGCATTGTGTTTTTGATAAGATACTTGGCCTAATTTAGTTGCACTTGCATGGACGCAGGTGCATAATTTATACTCCCACCCTTTCACAAAACTCTTCTGCCATAATTTTTTATGTATCTCATGAAACACTTTTATCCCATTTAAAGTGTCTAAAATACCATCAAAACAACTTCTACCTGCAAGATATATTCTACTATCTCAATCCCTGAAAATCTTTCTTCTTTCTTTTTTCATCTGTCCCACAAAACTCTTCTCATTTCAATTAAAAAATCACTTTTATCCCTACTAATTTTTAACCTACCTGTCATAACACATCTAATTACTATTAATATACCTATTAAATCATACTTTTATCCGTCACATCCAAGGACATTTTTGTAAACTCAATACCAAAATACACTCATCTTAAACTCTTAAATCAAAACCTCCCATGTTTTCAAGGACACGGGGAGTATGTAATAGAGTGTATTATAAAGATTTTAGGTGAAGTAGAAATATTTTATGAAGTGCATAAAAAATTAATAAGGGTAAAAGTATTTTTTGAAACAGATGACAAAGACAAAGAAGAGGTACAAAAAAGAAAAACATTGATGAAGAACTCTAGAGATCGGATAAATCTTTTTAATGCACTCGCATGATATAATGTGGGGTGGGGGTGGGGGGCATCTCTCAACTGGCCTGTTTTAGTGTTTTCATTGGATTAGGTTTGTGTTTGGAATCGACCCCATTTGTTTAGTTAGGAATAAACCTTGTCATGAAAACATTCTTTGCTAGGCTGGCAATTAAAAATGGTTTGATTTTTAATAACGAGAAATAAATTCACGATTATATACTCATTATATTGCTTTTTTAATGTGTGTCGTGGACAAGAATATAAAAGCATTGACATTCAAGGGACATCATAATACTCATTATTGACTAATAATCGAGTACAAAACATATGTATGTGGTGTGTTATTCGAGTCTCCATTGTGACCCATGAGGTACATTACATATGTATTGGTTCTTTTGGTACTTTTCATATTCTTTTTTAATTATTTAACTTTTTAAAAAAATTACTCCGTATAAAGTCTTACATTAAAAAAACTTCAAAAATTTATTTCAAAATCTCAAAAAGAATTAAAACCCGTAGTATGTTTATACTTAACATTACAAATAATATTATTAATTACTCAAGGTCAAATATGAAAAGGGCGTATATTACATAATATACCGAGTATTGTTGTAGAAGGCCTTTCTTGGCTCGTCTCGTCATGAAGAAAACAAAAGTTGGTCGAAAAGTGGTGACCGTAGGTTACTCCTTCGGTCTCACAAAAAAACTTGTTTGACTTTCACAGAATTCTAAAAAAATGTTAAAAAATAAAAAGAGGCATAATTGGTGTTACCATGAGTGCATATGATAATGCCTAAGACATATGATTGAGTTTAAGTTTTAAGTTAGAACCTGTAAATCCAGCTTTAAGCAGTGCAAGTAATCATCCCGGGCTCCAACAAATATGCTTCCGCCGATCATCACAGGGGACGAAAAGATTTCGCCTCCAAGATCAAACTTAATGGTTTCCTGTACCATCATCACACCTTCCTCGGACGATGAATGCGTTGCTGCTTCATTATGATGATCAGAGTTGACTTGAAGCACATGAATGCTTCCAGAACTGGTGCATAAACAGATGAGCCTGTAATGAGTAGGCACAGTCATGCTTGCATTAGAGAGATCTCCTGTAGTACTTTTCCCCCCTCTCTTCCTATATAACCTTGGGTTTGTCCAATAAAAGTGAATAGTGGAGATTTGATACGTAATCATAATAAAAGTGGAAGGACAAATTTGACATTTAAGACACATTCCTTTGCCATAAAAGGAATTGAGAAGAAGAAAATGGACGGACAAAATAGGAAAGTAAGAAAAAAAATCGGGAGGGAGTACGTATGAGTAGTGCAGTTGGAAAAATGGGTTGAGAAGTTGTCGACCTCAACACACTCCAGCAATGCACGTATGACACCAAGATGCGGTGCATTGAGAAGTTGATGTACAATTTTCCAACTCACCGCAGAAAAAAAAAATTGGAACTCAAATATTTGTTTCAAAAAGCAATTAAGACTAGCAGTACGAAACAACCTCTGGGGTAGAGGGTGGTGATCGTGAGCCAAAATCAAGTTTTCATCGATGTATGCAGATGCAGTGATGGGATCTCCGACACTGTGTTTCCAGATTAATTTCCCGTTTCCCTGCCACAGCATTAATCACCACTGTTATCAAAGCAGTACGCTAAAAAATAATACAGAATAAGCTTATGAAACAGTAGAGCATATGGTAATCATGCAGACTCACACACCAGGTCAAATGAATAGATGCAGCCATCTCTTGAACAAACAAGCACCTACAAAAATTTTTGTATATATATGTTTAAAAAGAAGCATGTTATATATTGCAGTGCTGCATTTAAGAAATTCTAGATCCAGAGTTGTGTATCTGCCAAATGAGACATGTAAAGGATTATATATAATCACCTGAGATGGCAATGTAGGTGACATGCATGGTCCTGCAAATATCGGGCCACCTGTTCTTCCCTAATTCATCAAAAGAAAGAGTATAGTGTCTGACAAATAGCACCGAAAGAAGAGTCAAAGAAAATGGACACAAGCATCGATGAACAAAATAGGATGGATGGACGGATAAACGCTAAAAATGCTAAATCTGATCTTCAAATGAAAATAATAAAGACAATCACTAATGGAGAATCTATTCACCACCAAGCTCGCCTGTTTAAATGGGATGGGAATGTTTTGTGAATGTAATGACATGTTCTTGCTTTGAGGTTGTTCAAAAGAACGGCCTTCATCAAATCATGCAGCTTAGTTAGGAACCCACAATTCGAAATGCACCATAAAAAAAACAGTCATATAGCTTACTAGACATTAGTCAACTGGGTTGTTCTTGTTAATCTCCTTCTAACATCCTAAAAATACAAATAAAGTATTGAAGTCCTCCTGGAAACAATCTCTGTACACCTTGCCTGTCACCCCCCCCCCCCCA